TGAACGGTTAATTTCCGAAATTCATCGCACCTCCAGACTCCATGATGACCGTTACAACACTTGCACAAATGTTTTATTGATTCCCTTTTTCCAAAGTGGTCCTCATTTTGCGATTCTCCAAAAAATGTTCTAAATCCATCCCTACGATTTCCCTTATAATTCCGCTGTGAATTGCTACTAGTGTTCGCACTTAATCCGTGTATTGTTTCTGATGCTATAGTTTGAAACTCTGCTTCCTGTAAAATCCACTCACGTAGACATTCAACTGACTCTATTTTTCCGCTTTCAAATATCCAACGATGATACCTCGACAACATAGATTCTGTCATCTTTCGCTGCAATTTGTTGTACAAAGAACCATTCTTTAACTCCTCAAAACGACCTGCTTCTTTCAAGTTCACAACTGCTATATCCAGTAAATCTGCAAAATTTTCTATGTCTTTTGCGAATCCTTCTCTTATAGGTTTAAAGTTTTCAAGTTCTTCGATATACAAGGTTATTTGTCTTCTTTGTCCTCCATACTTTCTTTCTAAACGCTCCTTTGCAGCATCGTAAGCAACTGCTGAATGTCCTAAATTTTCTATAACTTGCAAAGCTTCACCTTCCACATATTGTCTCAGTTGTAATAATTTATATTCCTTTGTTGCCGGTGCTTGGTCAATACATGCTAAGAATGCAGCTTTCCAGCTCTGATAATTCCTTTTATTTCCTGTGAAAACCGGTATTGAAACTCTTTTCAACTGTTTCCACATATCCTGTCCTAATTCTGAACTAAATTTCGTTTCATTTAATTGCTTGTCGTTATTTTCTTCTTTCGTAGTTTGTTCAAATTCTGGTTTAACTTCCTTTTTTTTATTTATAGGTTTACTTTCCACTTTATTTCCGGAATTCACATTAGCTCGTTTCGATATTCTCGATACACTAGAACCAAAGCTTGACCCAACCTTACTCTCGATCAAATAATCACGACACTCATTTTCTGCGTCCGTAAATTCCTCTTCCATTTTTTCCATCTCTTTTGTTGTTTTCTTCATATTTAGTATATCATTCCTGTGCTTATATTCATCACAAATATTCCCCATAATATCCATCGCTTTTTCTTCCGCATTTATCAGTTTCTCTTGAAATACTTTTATTTCTTCACGATCCGGAAAATCTTCTTCAAGAATTTGTAGTAATGAATGTCTAGTTTTTGTGAATGTCGATTTTGCTTTCGCTTTTTCCTTCTTTAGATCTTCTAATCGTACACTTTCGTCCGGTTTAGCAATTACGGTTTCGTCCATTTTGTCTCCTTCGCTTGCCTCTGCTTCTATTTCCAAATCCCAATTACTCATTTTCTCACAATACGATTACGATTACAGTTCATTGAACCACGCTCTGCTACCAAAATGTTGCGGAGACGATTTGAATTGTGCAGTGGAATAAATTGTTCATATAAAGTTCGACGATTTGGGATTTGGAAGTTCGACGATAATGTTATACCAATAGCATTATTATATCCATAACATATAACTAACTCGAATGTTTGCTAATAACTACGTTTTAATCCAATATTTACAATATTTACAATCATTGCGTATTACAATTTCACAACATTGTTTTCGATGTTAACTTATCGCATGATAAAAACGAACTGTTTACGTCTGAACATTTGACATAAAATTTCACACTAATTTAACCTGATTCCCAGAAATGATCAAAACAAAGTAATTAAATCGCCACAGCTGCATTTGCAGACGACTATTATTTGAACTCTAACTGACTAGACTGACCTACTGAAGGTGTCATAAAATTTAGGAATCCCGTTAAGATTAACAATTAACTTTCTACACTGTAATAAATTCTTTGGAAAATACTATTATCTTTAACTGATCTTAGCAGACGAAAATGTAACCATATTTCAACATAATTGTATTGAAAATTAACGATAAAATTAAACTTGCAAAAATATAAGTGCAATTAATAAAAAACAATTTCTACTCTATTAAAAATCATAGCTAAAAAACAATCATACTAATAAAAACTAAAAACTATTGTCTTCAATCCAGTTGTGTATAAGTTTTATAACATTTGGTTGAGACAAACTAAAGTTAGAGAACGGAAACGAAAACTTCAGCAATTTTTATGTTTATAAAGGGACATAACTCAAGAATGGTAAAAGTGTTGCCACCAAATTTCGTACTTAATCTGTATTATGTAGTAATAAGCATTGTGTATAAGTTTCATAACATTTGGTTGAGGCAAACTAAAGTTAGAAAACGGATACAAAAATTTTGTACTTGATCTTAGTTTTGTGGTAATGAATATTGTGTATAGGTTTCATAATGTTTGGTTGGGGCAAACTTAAGTTACAGAATGGAAACTAAAAATTTTGCAATCTTTCGATTTATAAAGAGGCATAACTCAATAATGGTTAAAGTGACACTACCCAAATTCAACTTGATCTGTGTTTTATCAGTGGAAGTCAAAATTAAACATTGCATTGTATAAAGCATTGATTGTAGTTGATTCAACTATAATCATGGACAAAGGAAGATAACTCCAATTCTAAAACTTGATATTTAGAGGAAAATAAAACTTTTGCAATTTTTCCATTTCTAAAGGGGCATAACTCTAGAACGGTAAAAGTGACGCCACCAAAATTCAAACTTGATCTGTGTTTTGTGGTAGTAAGCATTGTGTATAAGTTTCATAAAATTTGGTTGAGGCAAACCAAAGTTAGAGAACGGAAAACCAATTTGGGACGTACGTACAGACGGACAAGGGTAAAACTTAATGCCCCTTCCGCTACGGCGGGGGCATAATAAAAATACCCATAACTCTTTGGTATTGTACATTTCATGAGCTGAAGATTATATAATATAGTCAAATATGAACTTATAACCACATCTTAGTATCATACTTTACATAAATTTTAAGAAAATCGACCAAAAACTGACAAAAAAAAGACTCATTTTTTTTTGCGGAGTTATCTCCCCTTCCAATATGAATTTCCATAGGAAATTAAAAATGCTCACCAGGCTAAAAACAATACTTCTAATACTTTGTATAAACTGCTTTTTTCTTGACCGATTTCATTATGATTAATTCACAGGCTTGAATTTATGGGGTTCTTTAATATGTTGAATCTATTGTATTTTGGACCCTGTATTTTAATTGGTGCATATTGAGATCCAAAGGGTCTGAAATTAAACTTTATTCATAGTTGCATTTTTTGGATTCTTTGATATGCCCAATCTTACAATATATTTGGATTTTTGAAGTTGGTCCCAATTTTCAAATAGATAAGTCCACATAAAATATCCAAAGCTGTCAAAATTTTTTAAAATCTTAAAATTATTGGGTTCTTTGGTATATCGAATACAACCATGTATTTAGATTTTTATACAACAGCAAAAAATTTTGGTCGTATATTGGTATGACGTTGGTGTCATCGTGGTTGTCGTTGTCGTCCGAAGACAAATTGGTTTTCGCACAATAACTTTAGTTTAAGTGAATAGATCTCTATGAAATTTTACCATAAGGTTCAATACCACAAAAGGAAAGTTGGGATTAATTTTGGGGGTTATGGTACCAACAGTTAAGGAATTAGGGCCAATTTTTGTAACTTCCAGACAATAACTTGTGTGTTAGTGTATGAATTTCTCTGACATTGTCCACAAGGTTCCATATCACAAAGGGAATGCTGGGATTAATTTTTGGGGTAATTGCCTCAAAAGTTTAGGAATTAGGGGCCAAAAAGGGGGCAAAAAACAAGCATTTTTCTAGTTTCATGACAATAACTTGTGTGTAAGTGTATGGATCTATCTGAAATTGTACTACAAGATTCCATATCACAAAGGGAAAGCTGGAATTGAGTTTGGGGGTAATTGCCCAAAACGTTTAGGAATAAGGGGCCAAAAATAAGCATTTTTCTAGTTTCCAGACAATAACTTGTGTTCAAGTGTATGGATCTCTCTGAAATTGTACTGCAAGGTAACATACCACAAAGGGAAGGCTGGGATTGATTTTGGGGGTAATTGCCTCAAAATTTTAGGAATTGGGGGCAAAAAAGGGGGCAAAAAACAAGCATTTTTCTAGTTTCATGACAATAACTTGTGTGTAAGTGTATGGATCTATCTGAAATTGTACTAAAAGGTTCCATATCACAAAGGGAAAGCTCGAATTGAGTTTGGGGGTAATTGCCCAAAACGTTTAGGAATAAGGGGCCAAAAGGGGCAAAAAATAAGCATTTTTCTAGTTTCCAGACAATAACTTGTGTTCAAGTGTATGGATCTCTCTGAAATTGTACTGCAAGGTACCATACCACAAAGGGAAGGCTGGGATTGAGTTTGGGGGTGATGAATCATAAGGGGGTTCAAAAAATTGGGGGGGGGGATTTTTTTTTCCTTTTTTTCCTTTTTTTTTTTCTTTAAAATTTTCCATTTTAAGTTGGTTATTTCTGATTTATATATAGATTTCATCAAAAATTAAATTCTTTGGATTCTTTGATATGCTGAATCTAACCATGTATTTAGATTTTGGATATTGGACCATAAAGGTAAATTAAAATTTTTTAAGTTCTTAGACCACATTCATTCTGTGTCAGAAACCTATGCTGTGTCAAATATTTTATCACAATCCAAATTCAGAGCTGTATCAAGCTTGAATGTTGTGTCCATACTTGCCCCAACTGTTTAGGGTTCAACCTCTGCGGTCGTATCAAGCTGCGCCCAGTGGAGCATTTTATTGAATTTGGTACCAATTTTCAAATAAATAATTTCACATTAAGGTGTAAAGGAGTCAAATTTTTTTTTTTGATTCTTCAAAAGTTGAGATCTTGGGGTTCTTTGATATGGTGAATCTTATCATGTATTTAGATTTTTGATTTGTTTGGCCTTGTTTTCAAGTTGGTCGAAATTGGGGTCCAAAATTAAATTTTGTTTTATTTCAACAACATTTTAGTATATGGGGTTCTTTGATATGCTCAATATAAACCTGTTCTTTTCAAATCTTGGCTTGAACATAGTGATTTAGATATAAAACTTCAATATGTTGCATTTTGAAGGAGTTTCAACACTGATTGGAAAAACCACAGGCAAAGTTGTAAACCATAAGGTTCGCATATCAAGCTGTAGAATTTGTGAAAGGGCAAAGAGCAGAGGTGTCTTACCACGACAACATAAGTGTAGAAAGAATTGGAGTGGTTCGGCAAAGGTATTTACCATATGAAAGCAATAACAATGGTAATAAACAGCTGCGCCATGAGCACATGATACACCCGTCACATTTTCAAAGAAAAAGTTCAATTACTTCTCAATGTCATATTTCAAATGTATAAAAATCAAAAGGGAGCTTACATCAATAGATATAAACAATTCACTAAAGTTTCATGAGAATTGCTGAAAGCATTTTTGAGTCATGTCCAAAACTGGAAAATCACCCCTTTTTTAATGAATAAAACCCCATAACTCGGAAATGTAAAATCTAAAATTTATAAAAAACCAAAGGGATCTCACATCAATATACATAACAATTCATCAAAGTTTTATGCAAATTAGTTAAAGTGTTTTTGAGTTAATTTAATGTCTTACATGTTGACAACAGAAGAACAGACGGACAACGATATCCCATAATACGTCCCGTAATCTTTGCATTGTGAAAACAAACAACACTTCAATATTTACTTTGACAATAAGTTGTAATTTTGAATTGGCATATTCAATGTTTAGTTGATAAAAGTGAATGTGAGGACCATTCATTCTTTCGTGTTTCCAAAACATTTCAATTTCAAATAATTGACAGATTATTAGAATTGTTAGATACAACTGTTGAATTAATCAAACCGTGTAAGCTTTCATTTTTGAGGAATTTTTACAAAAAATTTTGTCAATGCAAAGTTTAAGGCTTTTGATAATCAAATATGGGGTTGTGGTATCATCTAAATGTTTACTGAATACACATTATTTTAAAAACTATTTCAGGGTATGGAACCAGATATGGTAGTCGAAATGTTAAAGGAATTAGATGAAAAAGGAGTGGATATATTAGAAGTAGTAGGAGATGATGATTCCACAGGGTTTGACCGAGCCAAGCGATTAATGCCCAATTCAAAAATGGAAAAAATAAGTGATAGAAATCATATCAAACATAACATTATTTCAAAGATAAATGAACTAAAGCCAAAACACAAAGAGTTATCTGGAATGGTTTGTGACGCAATTGTTAAAAACTTTACATACGTTGTCAACCAGAATGTAGGTAATCCGAGTGGTATTGAGGACGGCCTACATGCATCAATAAAACACATATTTGGCGAACATGATAACTGCAATGAAACTTGGTGCGGATACCTTAAAGACAAGGATTCTTATATCCATTCAAATCTTCCCCGTGGAAAAGACCTATGTTCGTCTGAACTCAGATCAGATCTTGAGAAACTGTTTATTCAAAAAATGGTTCCACAGTCTAAAAAGCTATCTAACTTGGGCTCATCACAGGCAAATGAAAGCTTTAATAACTTAATTGCTCTCAAAGCTCCAAAAACCAAACATTTCTCCACATCAGCATCTTTAAATTACAGAGTCAGCTCAGCTGTACTCCAAAAGAATGAGGGTTATAATTACATTGCTGAGGTATTATTTGATAAACATCCTATACTTAATTGCAATTAAGACAATTGAACAGAAATTAGCAACTAACATTAAGGCTTTAATAATCACAATGAATGTGTAATAAATGCAATCTTACTTCATATATATATATACTTCTCTATTAAAAAAAATAAACTAAAAAAATATAAAAATAAGAAAATACGGTATGATTGCAAATGAGACATCTATTTACCAAAGACAAAAAGACATATCTAAGCAACTATGTTAGGGCTTTTCCAAAAATAAATGTATCATGGGGGGGGGGGGGGTAGGAAGGCACTTTTTATTTGACCCCACCATGCATACATTTTAAATTGGATATTTCATATAATGTTCAGGCAATCTTTCTTAAATAACCACCACCCATCAAATTTTAATAAAAGTGCCTTCCTCCCTCCCCTACCATTAATTCTGGAAAAGCCCTTACTTTTACAGCCTTTAAAAATGAGCAAAAAAAACAATACATTATGATATCAACTGTTAAAGATTCCTGGGTAAATATTCTGATTATTCTACATCAGGTCAAGATTAATCTCAATTTTGCCGAATTCTATTCAATGATTGATTATTGCTGCTCAAAATGTAATATTCATACTACAAAATGCCTTCAACTTTCATTGCAAAAACATACAAAATATGATTTTTTTTAAGGAATTATTATAAAGATGATAAAGACTTGCATGATTTTAAATGAATTGATTTTTCAGTTAAACACATCTATAGGCCTGTCACCTGGAAATGAGACCCTAAGCAGGGGTAATAAATTAAACAAGAAGAGAGAGGGCAACAAAAACAGATTCAAAAGCAAACAGGGAAAAAGACAACGTAAAGTTCTCAAAAAGAAACGCCTCCAAAAAACAACAGTGGCTGAAGTCAAAGAAGGGAGAACATACCACAGTTCAATCGGTAATAATTCTTATATATATATATATTGACAGAAAGTATGATGTGCTTTTTACTTTTGAAGAGGTCAATATACATAATTATTATTATAATAGAAACATAGCATCAATATACTTTAAAATAGAAACAAGGCTTTGGATATATAAAATAACCTTTGATACATGTGATCATTATATCCAAATAGGAGAATGCTACACCATCAGGTCCATGCATATGTAATATTCATGTATATATTTTTATGTCCCCAAGTCAAAAAAGTTTTCAAATTATAAAGTGACTGTGCAATTAATCACCAACTGTGAAAATTCGTGAGATTTCAGCCAGACATTAAAGTTATATAATTAACATGAAGATGTAATCATGAAATTTACCAGACTTCTGAAGTATTGTAATTCTTGGGACAATTTAGTCACAAAATATTAATGAATTTTAGTAGATTTTGATATTTTATAAAGTTGAAATTATTTTCTTTCAAAGACTTGGTATATTTTATTTTAATTAGGGTTAGAAGATTTTGCAACAATAGACATAGAAGAAATACCTGCAATTCCTGAAGCTGAAACCTTTACAAACATAGATGATGCACCAATAGTTTGTTTTGATTTAGAGACAACTGGTTTAAGTAAGTTATACATAATTAAACTTCAGAAATGAGTTACCTCAATTATAAAAAAATATTTCAGTGGATAACGTTAAAATTGAAAGAACTGCATTTTTTCATGACATCAAAGATATAACAATATCTACAGAAACACATTATCAATGTCTGTATATACTGTGTTAAGCCAAATTTTAAAGTCAATGCATATTAGGCTGCGTTATGAATAAAGTATATTAAGAGGATCATGAATGACTCATCTTGATAATTTAGCTTGATTTTGATGATTATTCTAATGTTCTTTTTTTCTTTTAGTTGAAATAAAACAAAAAACTGAAAATTGCTGAAACAATACATTTAAGGGGCAATAACTCTTTCATTTTTTTTTAGCAATTTACACTTTGCATCTACCTTATTTTGGAGGTGAGATAAAATACAAAGATGATAATTTTAGAAAAATATTTACAGACCAGTGGAGCAAAACTAATTTTTTAAAGTTATTTCACTGAAGAGAGATATGAAATAAGGAGATGTGGTATAATTGCCAATAAGACCATCAACTAAAGTTCAAATAAGGGGGATAGAAGACTTAGTCCTGTTGATAATTTTTTGACAATTAATTGCTTTTTTGAAATACCTTTTACAGTTTAGATGCACAATAATAAACAAAATGTTTAACTTCAGGTAGATATTCTGATATAACCCAGATAGCTGCATGCACCAAAGACAGTTCCTTCAGTCGATATATATTTCCAGACCAACAAATTTCAAGAGAAGCATCAGAAATAACAAAAATCACTATTGTAGGACAAAAAATGTATTACAATGGTAATGCTGTTGTTTATAAGCATAAACATGAAGGAATGACTGATTTTTTAACTTATTTGTCAAGTTTCACAGATAAACCTTTATTGGTAGGACATAATATAAAACGATTTGACTGCCATGTTTTATTTCATACCTTAAAATGTATGAATATGTACAGTGAACTATGTGCAAGTATTGTTGCATTTTTAGACTCTTTGAATTTGTTTAAACTTGTTTCACCTGGCTTGTCATCTTATAGCCAGTCTTTTCTTGTTGACAAACTATTAGGTCAACAGTATGAATCTCATAATGCTGTGTATGACACAAAATTACTTTTTAATTTAGTCACTGAGAAAGGTAATGTTTCTCAATTTATTAGTGAACTTGCTTTTTCACCTAGCTACCCTCAGTTATACCAGATGCAATTGGCCAACTTGAAAACTTTTGAAAAGCTAGTTCAATCAAAATGTCTGTCAAAAGCTATGGCACTAAAGACAGCGAGGTCTAACCTAAGGTTTCAACATTTCCAATTAGCAGTACAACGAAATGACATGGCAGGACTCAAAGCCTTAATGACAGAAAAGTCTTCAACTGGGGTAGTTAGAGTGACATCAAACAAAAAAATTATACAAAGAGTATATGAGTATCTAATTAGTCAAAAGTAAAGGAAAAATATGTTTTGTTATATAAGGTAGTCAGTCAGTGGTAATACTTTAAGAGCATATGATACAGTTACAGGGGAGGTCATGAAGTTTTAACATAAAATATTATTCCTCCTGTATGATAAGAATTAGAAAATTGATCGTTGTTATGCAGAACTTTACCTTAACTAACTTTTTGTTGAAATTCATGATCAGAGATAAACATTAATGTGTACTGTAAATTACTGTAAATGGTAGCGTGAGCCCTGCTGTAATATTTGTAAATGTATTGTAGACATATCTTCATGATATAAACCAAATTGTTTTGATAGTTATACAACTTTATATGAACCTTGAATTTTTTTAGATATCAATTTTTTTAAGTTTGTGTAATAATTTATCGTTGATTGGAAGACCATTACTTACATGTACTGGATGAGATGCATTTGAGTTTTTAATGCATACATAATCCAGTGAAGTAATTTATCCGGCTATAACCCAAATTTTGTTCATAAAGATAGACTGTATGAACATAGTATGATAAATTTTGACTGTACACTTTCTTGAAAAAAAGTTCAACTTGAGATAAGAGTTTTAAAATATGTTGAATTAACAGTTATATAAATCTTAGTCTTTTCTGTGTTTTTTTATATATATTTTGGTGGATTTTTTTTATTGCTTGTACAGGCAATTAGAACAAGTATATAGAAATTTTTGGAAAATAGCTTAACAATTATAAAAAAGCTGCAGGAACAATTGTAGTCTTTTCTCTCAGGTGTTTATATTAGTAAAAAGACATCCAAGGTTATTTAGAAATGTTATTGCTGTTGAAACTTTAAAAAGCTATCTATAGATAACATACTTTCATCTATTTGTACAGAAGTATCAAAATACTGTATATTCAAAAAGTAAAATTTTGAATGAGATGTCTGACATAATTATACTCCTACCTCTGTGGATGGGAAAGAAGGAGATCTCCATCTTTAAAAGATTGAATATGGGATAAAATGATATCAGAAAGACTTATACAAGTTACGGCAAATATATTCAAACAAACAGTATTTTGATGTCTTCAATCATGACTATTTGATGTTTACATGATGATACATGTGTTCAGGTATTGGTCAGGTCAATGTTTGTGCTGAACATAGTTAATGAAATTTTACACATATTCATTATGATCTACATTTTGCAAATAATTGTATAATAAACCAAATTAGGGTTAAATCTAGAATTTGTCATGTTGAAGTCCAAAGCAAAATGTCTTAATATGTTTTTAAAAATTTATATTATTAGCAAGGCTTTGCAAATTCTATTCAGTGAAATTATTTAACCTAGTTACTACAAACAGTATTTCTAACTGAGAAAAACATGTAATTTATTTGGCATCTTTATTTAATTATATATGTACAAACAAACGTAAGAACAGATATCCATTGAAAATAAAATAAATGTATTAGATCACATGAACATTGTTGTTTCACTTCTATCAAGAAATATGTTTAGTCATGTTAATTCCCTAAATCAACTCGGTAACACACAAAAAAAAACAATTATAACTTGCACATCACCACATAGTACTGGATAATCAAATGGAGTGGAAAAAGAGGGGCACTTACTGTGCTGATTATGTGTGGTAGTGATGGTAAGTCTATTTTTTGTCAAATTTATTCGGAATGTATTTTTTTAATATTAAAAAGAAATGAAAAGAAAACGAGAACAAATGCTCACATTTATCTGAATCTTTAATGTGTGATAAAAGAAAGATTAACCATACTTAAATGGGACATTCTAACTCATATCATAATAAGAAAATAAACAGAAAATGCCATGATTCCTTTACATAATATTTTATGTTGGTGCTCCTTTAGAAATGAGTCTTATATATAAAGCAAACACAGCCTATTTACACCGAAATCTGCACATGATACTTAATAATACTTCAAAGTTTGATAAGAAAATGCAAAGGAAACTGCAAGATATCAATCATAACATTTGGTAAAAGCAAACTAAGGGAGCTACCATTTGATTTTTATGGGGGGGCTAGGATGAAATTTGAAAAAAATAGGCAGGACAGGAGTTTTGAGTAAAAAAAAAGGCAGGATGAGATTATTTGCCAAAAAAAAAGGCAGGATGACAATTTATGTAAGAAAAAAAGTCAGGATAAACTAAATAAAACGGCAGGACTGAATAGAGGTAAAAATAAAAAGGCAGAACAAAATTTTTCATCCTAGCCCCCCCATAAAAATCAAATGGTAGCTCCCTAAAGTTAGAGAAAGGAAAGGAAAAATTCAGCAATTTTTCAATTTGTAAAGGGGCATAACTCTAGAACGGTTAAAGTGACACCAACACAATTAAAACTTGGTGTGTGTTGTGTGGTAAAAACATTGTGATAAAGTTTCATAACATTTGGTTGAGGCAAATAAAAGCTGGAGAACGGAAATCAAATCTTGGACGTACATACGGACGAACAGACTTACATACGGACAAGGGTAAAATTCAATGCCTCCTCAGCTACGATGGGGCATAAAAATTAGCAAGTTCTGTCATTTTTTTTCCTGTGAATATTCAAAAAGAAAGGTTTTTTTCCAATTTCCCCTATATCCATTCAGAAATTAGCCTATTTGCACCCATTTTCAGAGGTTAAAAATTCTCTTGAATGGCCGGTGACCCCCAAATTTTATTCCAATTTTATAAAATAGAGACTTCAAGCTTTTCAGTATGAAAAAATGAGCAACTTCTGTCATTTTGTTTGCTGTGAAATTTTAATGAAAGAGGTTTTATGTCCATTTTCCCTATATTTAGCCTTTTTGCACTCATTTACCGAGGCCAAAAAATCTCTTGGATGGCGAGTGACCACCAAATATTTTTCCAATTTCGTAAAATAGAGACATCACGCTTTTAAGTATGAAAAAATGAGCAACTTCTGTCATTTTTGTTTGCTGTGAAAATTCAATCAAAGAGGTTTTATGTCCATTTTCCCTATATCTAGCCTTTTTGCACTCATTTCACAGGTCAAAAAATCTCTTGGATGGCCGGTGACCCCCAAATTTTATTCCAATTTCATAAAATAGAGACATCAAGCTTTCCGTATGAAAAAATGAGCAACTTCTGTCATTTTGTTTGCTGTGAAAATTCAATCAAAGAGGTTTTTATGTCCATTTTCCCTATATTTAGCCTTTTTGCACTCATTTTTAGAGGTCAAAAAATCTCTTGGATGGCCGGTGACCCCCAAATTTTATTCCAATTTCATAAAATAGAGACATCAAGCGTTTCAGTATGAAAAAATGAGCAACTTCTGTCATTTTGATTGCTGTGAAAATTCAATCAAAGAGGTTTTTATGTCCATTTTCCCTATATTTAGCCTTTTTGCACTCATTTTTAGAGGTAAAAAAATCTCTTGGATGGCCGATGACCCCCAAATTTTATTCCAATTTCATAAAATACAGACATCAAGCTTTTCGGTATGAAAAAATGAGCAACTTCTGTCATTTTGATTGCTGTGAAAATTCAATCAAAGAGGTTTTTATGTCCATTTTCCCTAAATTTAACCTTTTTGCACTCATTTTTAGAGGTCAAAAAATCTCTTGGATGGCCGGTGACCCCCAAATTTTATTCCAATATCATAAAATAGGGACATCAAGCTTTTCAGTATGAAAAAATGAGCAACTTTTGTCATTTTGTTTGCTGTGAAAATTCAATCAAAGAGGTTTTATGTCCATTTTCCCTATATTTAGCCTTTTTGCACTCATTTTAAGAGGTCAAAAAATCTCTTGGATGGCCGATGACCCCCAAATTTTATTCCAATTTCATAAAATAGAGACATCAAACTTTTCAGTATGAAAAAATGAGCAACTTCTGTCATTTTGTTTGCTGTGAAAATTCAATCAAAGAGGTTTTATGTCCATTTTCCCTATATTTAACCTTTTTGCACTCATTTTTAGAGGTCAAAAAATCTCTTGGATGGCCGGTGACCCCCAAAGTTTATTCCAATTTCATAAAATAGAGACATCAAACTTTTCAGTATGAAAAAATGAGCAACTTCTGTCATTTTGTTTGCTGTGAAAATTCAATCAAAGAGGTTTTATGTCCATTTTCCCTATATTTAGCCTTTTTGCACTCATTTTTAGAGGTCAAAAAATCTCTTGGATGGCCGGTGACCCCCAAATTTTATTCCAATTTCATAAAATAGAGACATCAAGCTTTTCAGTATGAAAAAATTAGCAACTTTTGTCATTTTGATTGCTGTGAAAATTCAATCAAAGAGGTTTTATGTCCATTTTCCCTATATTAAACCTTTTGGCACTCATTTTTAGAGGTCAAAAAATCTCTTGGATGGCCGGTGACCCCCAAAGTTTATTCCAATTTCATAAAATAGAGACATCAAGCTTTTCAGTATGAAAAAATGAGCAACTTCTGTCATTTTGTTTGCTGTAAAAATTCAATCAAAGAGGTTTTTATGTCCAT